GATAGAATTACTAACAAAGCACTTATATACTAATAAAGGACTGGCTTATCTAAAGCCAGTTGAGTAGCACTTGAAATGTTTTAGCTCTATGAAACCTGATGTACTGATATGATTCTGTTTTCTTCAAGTTTGTATCTTCTTGGTCGAATGCACTTATTGTAAGTTGCTTTGGATAAAAGCGTCAGCTAAATGTAATGTAATGTAGTCGGCCAGAACCAGACGTTTCCTCCTGCAGAAAGGAGACAATCTCCTCCAAGCCCGCTTCTCAAGTCACTTATGAAACTACGACTTTAATCTCCTAATTATTACTTTATTCTCGTATTATTACGACTTTATTCTCGAAATCTCTCTGTTTTTTTTCTTCTAAGTGTGGCCCTAATACTCCGTCGTATGATTGAGACTGATTACAAATAATAATAATTATAATTCTGTAAATTAAATATAATATTTTTTTGGAGTTCTTACACTCTTATTCGTGGCTCAAAAAGCAAGAAGAGCGTTTGAATGTCAAAGTTACGAAAGCTTTGAAGCATCAAAAATATTCGGTAGGGGAATACTTTATACAATGTGTGAATGCATTCATTTCAATAATACATGACAGGATTACAAGATCACAGACTGTTTCTCCCTCTGCTTCTTACCAGACTGGTACAGTTGTGTTCTCGGTCTGGACCCTCCAGGGTTTGGAGGCGTAGACGGCCTCTCCATTGATCTGCAGCCAGGCTCCGACCCCCCTGAGCCGCTCCTCAAACACTGCGGGGATCATCCCATCAGGTGTGGGACCCACATTCAGGAGGTAGTTCCCTCCCAGAGCCACAGTGCGAACCAGATCCTGGAACAAGAGAAGGATGACAAGTCAGGAAGACACACCTCACTGATCACAGTATTCTTCCTGTGCACATATTTAAGCAGTGAATATTAAGATGACTGAAAAATCAAGTGCTTTGCTTAATTTGGATCAGGATTCTCTTGAAAATGATTGCAAAATCAAGTCACACCTGATTGTAACAGACAATTAAGGGTCAGCGAATTGGCTGTTTGAAAGAGCAACGTATTAGATTAGATTGATTACTGTTTTAATGTTAGCAATTCAAAGAAAACTTAAATTACAAAATGTCTCCGTGATGGCTGCACACGAGCAGAAATTACGTGTACAGGTATGTTCATGTATAAGATATACAAAAGCGGAACCAACCTATCTCTCATTACGGATTGGTTAATACAATGACGCTGTCATCACTTAGTTATGCTCACCTCTATAATGGAGGGTAAGTCCATCAGTTCGCTCATCTTCATGTTTCGGCGGTAGCCCCAGGAGAGCGTGTCCACAGATGTGCATTTCTCCCATTTGTGCTTGGGCAGCTGGCCCGGAGTGTATTTGTCTTCACAGTTGTAGTAGCCGCCGTGTTTACAGGCACAGCCAGCACCCCAGCGGTCATTTGTCACGATGGTATCCTAAGAGGAAGAAAAGAAAATGCAACCCCAGTTAAACTATTAATAGTCGAATGTCTTGCTTAAAAAATACACTGACTGTATACAGCATTTGCACACTTGTTCAACTAGAACTAGAGATGCACTGATTTCAATTTCAATTTGTATTATCTTTGAGCAGCCAATTGTGACTATACTTGACAGCATGCAAACATATTTTTATTACTTTTCTTTCTTGGAAAATTGAAATTCAATGATATGTTCATAATGAAAAAAAATACTCAATAACTAACATACATTTCCTCCAATACTGCACCAAATTTGAGTACCTTCTCTCACTCAAAGAGATGCACAATACTGTACAAAAAAAATCGCACTAAAAATGTATTACAGTACATAACACTTTCTCTAATATGTTTTACTTTCCTAGAGGAAAACAGAAGCAGAACAAATCTATAATAGATAAAAAACGATGTAAGTCTGACAACCGGTGGCCAATCAGTCGGTTAATCTCTAATTAAAACACTTACTTTGACTGGGCTGTCATTGTAGAGCCAGGCCAGGAATTCGGTGGAGTTCCAGTAGGTGTCAGGAGCTTCCCAGTCTCCATCGGACCAGATCAGATCAGGTCTATACCTGCAGAACCACAGGAAGGTAAAGGTATTAACATACTGCCATAAGATTATATTAAATGTCAATATAACCAAGTCTAACTTTATTATCATAACAAGGTAGAATAAACATGTTTGTATTGCAATCTGTTGATGGGGTAATTTAAGTGTTACATACCTTACAACCATGTTATAAAGCTCAGGTAGAAGTTTATGCATTACAAACTCCTGCGTTTTGAATCCATTCTTCTTGTCTGTCAGGTAGAGAGGGTTGAACCACTCATACAGGGAGTTGTAGAGTCCATAGTGCAGTGACCTAAACAAGAAAATAAAACATCTTAGAATCCAAAAAAGCAGGCATTAAAACTAAAGACAGCAAGGTATCTGAATGACATGACGATTGGGAAAGCCACAAATTCAACCCTATATTCAAATGTTGATATTTTGTTATCTGATTCAATGGTGGTTGAACATTTCTCTGAAGAGAGGATGCACCACTTAACATTATTCTCACATACTCCATTTCCTTATTCGGAAATATGTGTACTGTACCTCACTGCATTAAACGCATTTTTCAGTAAGGTACCATAAGGAAGCCTTCTTCTTTTATATCAATCCTCAAACTTTACTTTAACTGGAAGGCTTTGTTTTGTTTTACACATGTGCATCTACTTTGTATCCCTCTTTTACCACTTTTACCAAACGTATTTGTTTATTAAATAACAACAACAACAAAAAATCCCAGGTCAAATGTTTCTGCTTTTCAATAGTTTTCATTGTTATCTTGACTGTGTGTAGACAATTTTATATTGTCCTGAAAACCACTTACTATTCAATAAACAAATTATGATTATCATATTAATTTCACCACAAAGTACCATGTATAACATTTTCTCTGTACTTTATAGCATTTGATGGCCCACCTGTTGCGCACCTCCTCCCCCAGGTCCCCCACCAGATCCCTGTGAGGACCCGTATCCACTGAGTTCCAGTTCCAGGAGTTTGGAGACCCCCAGTTTGTAAATCCTTCATGGTGTTTGGCAGTCAGGACGACATATCTGCAAAAAAAAGGTAACAACAACTGTTAAATCAGGTTTGAGGAGGGTTGGATTACATGTACGGGATTATGTAATAAGGATACAAAAAAAGGTTAACGTATTCCCTTATAGTAACATAAAGAAAATACGTTACTGGTACATTTACTGGATTTGGATTACTGAGGATTATGCTAAAATAAAATTAAAATAATTATAGTATTGATTCAATCTTGTTGATACAAAATAACTAGTTTCTTCTTTTTTAAGGTTACATTGTTCTGTTATTGCACATCAAATACCTAAATAAGCTTTTTTATAGATATTTCTTTCCTATTGCATTTGAAATTCAGATCATGCAAAAGTAACATTTGTTTTACATTACTTTAATATTGTGAAACGTACATGAGGATACTGATTCAATGTTTTACATGTAATAAGTAATTGCCTCGGAATAACCCTCGCAACCCTGTGTAATACACCAAATTAGGGACTTGTCGATGTACAGTAGCAGAATGCATGCTAGGACGTATTCAAAACCGGAAGTGATCTTATTTGTTATCAAATGCTCTGTAAAGCCAGCTCAATAAATAGACTCACTTTGCACCAGACGCCTTGAATATGTCCGCCCAGTCCCCCGGGTTGAAAAACTGAGCGTGAAATTGGGGGGCAAACTCCGGGTAGCTGAATCCAGGCGGGTAGTTTTTGGACATGTAGCTCACACACTTCTGGTCCGGAGGTTGTTGGCCCTGCCAGTGCCACCAGAACCACTCACTGCCGAACCCGGGCACAGAAAACACCCCCCAGTGGACAAATATCCCCACCTTCGCCTGGTCGTACCATTGAGGCAGCGGCCGGGCGTCCAGGCTGGCCCAGTCCGCGGTGTACCGAGCCTCCGTGTGAGGCACCAGAACACCGAGGAGGAACCACAGAGCGAGCATGGTTTTAAAGTGTTAGAGTTAGAGTTCACTCCCCTGAATGTGAGTGAACATTAATGCTACTGGGAAGCTAATTTAAAACTGTTTAAAAGCAGAAAATGCGAAATAGTTTCACTTCCTGCAGTTGCACTATTATTGTTGTGCCCCTGCAGGTGCAATGTGGTCCCGTCACATGACTGAAATCACATGAGTGTCACGTGATTACACAGTCTGTATTTTTTTTGTAATGATAACTTTATTCAACACATGAACTTTGCATGATGCATGTATTATTTATTTATATGTAGTGTCATCTTGTTCACACATGTGGCATTATTGTAGGCACGTGTTACATATTTATTTACATTTAATGCAAATTTAAGCAAAGGGCAGATATCATAAATAACTAGATTTTTAGCCAAATGTAGCTTAGGCCTAAATAATTTTAAGTTTACAAGCTTAAATTACTGTTTTAAGCAAATATTTTTTGCTGTACATAAAACATTGATTGCAATGTGGCCCCATGACTTACACTGAACAAAAATATAAATGCAACACTTTTGTTTTTGCTCCCATTTTACATGAGATGAACTCAAAGATCTAAAACATTTTCTATATACACAAAATAACCATTTCTCTCAAATATTGTTCACAAATCTGAAAAAATCTGTGATAGTGAGCACTTCTCCTTTGCCGAGATAATCCATCCCACCTCACAGGCTGTGAGGTGGGATGGATTATCTCGTGTGTTGCATTTATATTTGTGTTCAGTGTAACTGAAATCATATGAGTATTGCTCAGTCAACTTTATTTAACACATCACCATAGGGATAGATTTGTCCTTGTTTTATTTATTTATTTATATGTATGATTATCTTGTTCACACATTTTGCATTGTTGTGTTATTTATGTTTTTTTTACATCCAATGCAAATGTAAGGAAAGGCCATGAATAAAAACTATTACATCTTGTAACAAAAAAGGGCATAGAAAAAAGATTGAAGTAACACCCAAACACACACATAGGGTGTACACATCATCATTTATCTTTGTTTATAGATTTCTATACAAAACACATTTATTTAAACTCAGTACAAGTAGGAGTGACCTTTCCACAATGTTTAAGGAAATGTTCATATGGAGAAGCCCAGCTTTACCCTTACAGTAGATACCTGAGGAAGTCAATGATTCATTCAAAGTGATTGACGAATCAAACAGGAAGAAACTAAATGTAAAAAGCAAGAAACCTACAAGTACATTAGCTTTCAATAAGCCAACCCTTTTTAAGTGCTCCTGAATTGGCTTCAAATGAGCCAAATCTTTCTAAGTGCTACGTACAGAAGTAAGAATTTATTTATTTTGTATTGTTGAAGGTGCAGTCCCTTCTAGACCTAATGACTTGATATTGATTATCCACAACTCTGACGTTAGACTTCTCCCTCCAGTTTAAGGCACCAGGCATTTCCAAGAGATTTTGGCATCGCAGGCATAACAATCCTGAGTCCAGCTGTTGGTGTGAGTGGTTCCCACTTCAGTGGTACATCATGATAGTCCATGAGTGTAACCTGTGGATATAAACGAGAAAAATGTAGATTTATTCAGAATGACAATTGAGTTTAACTGGAATTAAACGTTTAAGGCATACGGTGTACAGCTTACTTTTGTGGCTCCAGTCATCCTCTGTGCTGTGAGCTGAAGAATCTGTTTGCACGGCCAATGAAGGATAATGGCATGAACCGTATTGTTTTTGGCCGCGCACCTATAATAGGAACAATAAGTCTTATGTTACATCACAAAGATTATATCACATTTACTTTTTTGTCCAAACCAAGTGGAAATGTGTCTTTGGCCTCTCCAACACCGTTTGAAAACATAGCAATATACATAATACAAAAGTGCAAATGGTCATGTAGCAGTGGAAATAATAAAGAGAGAACATTTTATAGATGCCTATATTTCAAGTGACAATGGCCTCACATAGAGACAGAAGATGAAGTGAAAAAACACAAAATCTCACCACACAGTGCTGTTTTCCTTCTGGACCCTCCATGGTTTGGTAGCATAGATGACCTCTCCATTTATCCCCAACCAGGCACCAAGATCCCCCAGCCTCTCCTCAAACACCGGGGCAATCATGCCATTGGCCCGATATTCAGCAGGTAGTTACCTCCCATTGCCACCACGTACACCAAGTCCTAAGAAATGAGCGAGTTCAATTAACCAAATAACTTTTCTTCCATCATTTGCAGGTGATGTCCTACTATGAACTCTCACCTTTAGGATTGACGGCAGGGCCATGACTTCGCTCAGCTTCATGTCTCTTCTGTAGCCACAGGATCGGGTGTCGAGGGACAGGCATTTCTCCCATTTGTGATCTGGAAGTTGACCAGGCGTGTACCTGTCAGCACAGTTTAAGTAACCTCCATGTTTGCCGTAGCAGCCCTTACCCCACCTGTCATTGGTAACCACCACATCCTAAAGAAACACACGGGTTGTTACGTACAGATGAAGACTGCAAATAAGCATGATCAATTAAATACGCTCAGGTGAAACCTGTGGTTTTCTTTCACCTTGACTGGACTGTTGTTGTAGAGCCAGGCCAGGAGCTGGGTGGAGTTCCAGTAGGTATCTGGTGCATCCCAGTCCCCATCAGACCAAATCAGATCGGGTTTGTACGTCGTTACAAGGTCCACTAGCTCTGGAAAAGTTTTACTGGCAACAAACTTCTGAGACTGGAATCCGGAGGCTTTGTCCAACAAGTAAAGGGGATTGAACCACTCATACAAAGAGTGGTAGAGGCCCAAGTGCAGTGACCTGTAGAAAAATACAGGTGAATTCACAAAGTAGTTTAGCACCGTCATTCGTAGTCAACTATTTCCTTTCTGACTCATATTAGATTAGATAATTCATGCTTATATTAGAAGTTGTTTTGTTTTTATTTACATCCCATTACTGTTTGCTTTCTGTAGATGTCCCTCACCCTTGAAAGATTTACCGTAAATCATTATTGACGTATTTTATTGTGAACTACTTAAATTCCTTTTCTTTATACGCGCTTTAGATGCAGCATCCTGCTCCCTTATCTTCTCACCTATTCCTGACAGCCGCAGCCAGGTCTCCCACCAGGTCCCGGTGAGGACCAACATCCATTGAGTTCCAGTTCCTGGAGACTGCTGAGGGCCAGGGTTTGTGAATCCTTCATGGTGTCTGATGGACAGATGTGTTCATAACGACTTATATATTTACTTTTAATTCATTCACAGTGCGGTATAATGAGACAATAACAGGCTACAGATGCGGACACACACACAAATATATTTATATAAATATATACAAATATATACAAAGTATGAGAGCACTCTCATAATAACACAACATAATCAGAGACTGAATATATCTATATATATTTAAGAATTGAGAAGCCTCTACTGTCTGACACGAGATGGGACTTTAGCTCTGCCTGTTTTTATCATTTGCATTACACCTGAATGCCATTGTGGGAAGGGTAGAACTGTCAGTGTATCCGCCCTCTGGCGGTGCTGTACAACATCCTACTTACATTAAACATGACTCAATATTGTTGTGCAATTACCTTAAATAATACATTAACCTTTCAATTGAAATCTTTATACATTTTAGAGAAGTCCGTTTTCTTTATTAATGCAAAACGCCTGTGATTTCAATGACCAATTTCAAGGATTTCTGAATACTTTATTCTTTTCAACCACTAGATGACACCAAATGGCAACTTTGTGCCAATTTTGCAGCAGGGAAATGTTCATAAAGCCAATGACAAGATAACGAAATATGTACGCATAGAAAAGCTAATGAAAAGGGACCAAATGTATCCACATCAGAGTCCTGCACGGGTCTGATTTTCAAGACCCGCTCCCGCCCCGCACCCGCGACGTGCAAAACCGAACCCGCCCCGCTACCCGCACATATTACCAATTAGTTCCGCAACCCGACCCGACCCGTCGGCACAGGATCCGCAACCCGACCCCCGCATATATATATGAGCAGTGAAAACGTGCAATTATTAACACACGCAGTTGCATATTTCTCTCAAAAAGCGTGGGATGTTGGTTATTCTCTCCATCTAGGAGGACACCAAAAGCCTCCCAGACGTTGGATTTCGTTCTTGAGGAAGTGTTGGAAAATGCTGTATTCTCCGCTAGAGAGCTTCACCTCAGCCATTCAGAATGTGGCGCGCTCAGAAGCAGATGATGCGCTGCAGAGGTTATGATTATGCACGGTCCCGCGGGGGAGAGGTCTGAGGATTTAAACATTAAACTACATTATTATTATTTAAATATATTTATTATGCAACACCCGCGACCCGACCCGCATCATCTTTGTTTTACCCAGAACCGAACCCGGAAAAAAGGGTTTGAAAAAATACCACCCGCGAATCACCTTTTTTGCGGGTCACCCGTCGGGTACCCGCGGGTACCCGACCCGATGCAGGACTCTGATCCACATGGCCCCGATATATTAACACAACTCAAACTTATTTTCATGACCTGCAATCTCACTACATAAGTCAATAAATAAGGCCATATTAAATTCATACTGTAACATCTACAGTATGGTCACAGTCGAGCAGTTAAAGGAATGTTTTTTTCTCCCGGTGCAGTGGGCTACAGATTCACTGTGTCACCTACACCAGTGCAGACAGCCAGCTGCCTTTCAAGAATCTGTTTCTCCACCAAGTCCTCCACTCTGCCAACCTCCACCTCATCGACGTCGTCCATAAAACTGGACCAATCTGGACCCCCGTCTGCACGCTCCATGGGCTCTGATTGGCCGGTGTGAGCAGAGTCATCGTGTGTGGTGGTCACACAGTTGCAGCTGTCACAGAGGCCGAAGCGCCGGAGCCCAGAAGAAACGCTCGACCCAGTGAAGGTTCGCCTGCAGCTCTTACAGGACACTGGCCAGTAGTGTCTGTGGACCTGTTGGTGGTCAGCACAATGAGATACATCATTATATAAGCAACCCCAATTTATAGATTATAGGTGAAGAACATCAACAAACGGACAAACATATTTACTGTCCTCGTTATACTTTCTTCTCTGCACACAAGTACCAGGGAACGAGACAGATTTCAACAGCACTAACAACAAAATTAAGAGTGAGCTAATTACTGCGTATAACTAACTGTGAGCAATTACTGGCTTTGAGAGGGTTTTTAACGTC